TGGAAGAATGCAGAATGCTGCACATTTTCATTAAAATTGGTAGCATTCAGAAGAAAAAAGAAACATGCTAAAACATGGTGTGCATATGCTGCTGCAAGTCACCCTGCAAAGCCTGAAATAATCATTTAAAAGTCATGGAGACATGGGATTGGATTTCGCCTGAGTTTTTTGGACCACTTAATTTGTCTTTCACAAGTTTCTCTTTCACTGAGTTCTCTTTGAATACTCTTTCAATGTACTCACAATCATCATCAGACTCATCTGCCTAGCAAAGGGGTGCAAAACACAACCAGTGCAACAAAATGTTCTTCTGCATATTGCATGCATTTAAACATTTCCACCAGATGGGTCTCCAAATCCCCAAATCTTACATAGTGTAGCTCTAAGTTTGTTCTCTGTAGAGAATGTGTTAACTTATCGTCACTTAGAAAATGAATAGAATATGTTATTTGACCAAATATGTTCAACCTTTTGCACACAACTGTAGGTTGACAATTACTGAATGTAGCCCATCTGCAACATTTACTCAGACCCCGCTACCCCATCCATCAGTGGGAAAAGACTACTATATGACCACTGTTGGCCAGACACTATTAATATTAGTAGTTCAAGTCTACTCACTAACAATAGTCATTATTTTCCTAACTTTGTATCTGGGATCTCAATCTTGGACACACCCACCTCTTCAGTGCTGTTGGGCTCTGTAGGCAAGCTGTTAGTTTATTAGGTACCTACACTCACTGACCATTTGGGTGGTGGACCACTCTCAACACTGACACTGACATCATAGTGTTTGTTGTCACTGTGTTGTTTCTAAGGTTTTTAAATGCGTAATTATTGGCCACGCCATTTTGTAGATGTGAAATTAGAGACCACAGATGTAGTAGTTTCTGACCACAGAGGCGTTCTTGGCTGAACAGTTTTGGGTTGTGGACCGCTCTTAATTAAGCAGTGACAGTGATGTATGTGAAAAGCAATGCCACTGAGCACGCTAACATGCTAACATACTACTACTGCGTGAGTGTCAGTTCTGTTCTGAGAATGATCCACCACCCAAATGGTCATTGAATGTGGACAGAGTCAAATGGAACTGAAGAAGCGGGAGTGTCCAAGTTTAAGATTCTGAAAGTGATACAAAATTCTGAAAATAGTGACTAATAATGGAAATATATGAAATACATTTTTTAATTAATAATAATAATTATAATAATACATGAACCACTTCACTGGACAAAATGATCACACCATTATATATACATAGATACATGTGATAGTAATAAGGTAAGAAATAGCACTAGTTTACTATATAACTAAAGAAATTTGGATAATATAACTAAATGCATTTTTGTTATTATCTCAGAATCCAATCTCAAGTATTTATAAGCTCTACAGGCAAATTCACCACACACTGATGTAGTTTAGATAAATCTACATTCAATTTCTGAAGACAATTACTGAATGAAAGAAGCCAAATGTTTAGAGTAAAATGCCATCACGACAATTTCATCGTTATTTACGATGACCCTGCAAATGAACGTTTTTCTCTCTTATCTAATCTGTCTGTGCTCTCAGGCAAAGGCACTTCAGACTTTTCGCCCTCACAGAGACACGCTGACTTCCTGTGTAAGTTTCTAACCAAAGCCAACATGAGTCCAACCCCCCAACACACACACGCTACCCCTACCACTTAACTCATAATGCCTTACTCAATAATTACTGCATATGATAAGGTCACAATGTGCTGTTTTCTTCTTTCTCTACACACTAATCTGTTTGTCCCTCTCTGTTTCATAGGACTACACCAGGATAAGCCTATACGAAGCTGCCCTAGACAGCTACAGAGTTGCTGCTTGAGATCTTTACCAGCATCTACAACCACTTTTCCTGCCACCTGTCCACTGGAAAAAAAGGTTTCACACATTTGTCTGACACACTGACAGTCTGGTGGGTGTTTGCATGTCAGAATGTGTCTCAGAAATGGGTGGGGTGTTAACTGGATGTTAAAAAATTTAGCTGCCTTTCAGGCAGAAGATTGTATGCTTAAGACCAAGTTTTGACGGTAATTACTTGTTTTATGAAAACTGAAATGAATGAAGGGTTTTTACCATAGAAAAACAAAAACAAAAACAAATCTATATACAAAAAACAATGGATTCATACTCATAAATATGCATAATTTAAGCTTTTTTGCTGCACCTATTGTATTATTTGTCTTATTTCATTTTAAAAGCCAAAATTTGTTTAAACAACAAGCCTTATATACATTTTATTTGCTGCCTTTTACATTAAAATGTCTATCAGTGTTTTCCATGTTAAATAAATAAATAAATAACTTGTGAAAAAGACAAATTATTCGGAATCTATGTGTGTACATTTGATTTGTCAAATGTTAATGTTAAAGCAGTCATTTTTATATAAATAGCTGGGCTATTAGCAGTAATAGACTGTCAATGAAGTATTGCTTTTATCTATAGCTGGATGTTCTCCATTCGCCATTATAAAGGTGAATGACTGGTGCAAATTTTAAGACACTGTTACTGTTTACATCATCTTTCAGTTTCACACACAGTAAAAGTGCACATGCAGACATTTTTCACTCAGACTTAGAAGGCCATTCAGACTTCTCCATTTCCAGTTTTTGAGGCCCTCATCTTTACAAAATGTTTATCTTTTTTTCTCTGCTCTGAAACACCTCAGCCTTCCGCCCAATGACAGCAGGGATAGGCTCCAGCACCCCACCAAGACCCAGAAGGATAGCGGTTTAGAGTGATGTGTGTTTGTATGTGTGTGTGAGAGAGTGTGAGTGAGTGAGTGAGTGAAACACCTCATCCAAAGAGGAATGCTCAGCTCATTTGCAGGGAGTTTTATTTTGGAGGGCAGGGCTAGGCGCTGGTTGTTGTAGGTGAGTAAGTGAACCTAGCCCGCTAAAGGTGAGAGCGGGTAGCTAGCAGAGCAGTGTTTTTTCCCTATTCATTTTACATACTGTTTTGCTCAGAAATTCAAGTAAAGCTGAACATGGACCAGGAGCTGTATTACAGAAACTTAAGTCTGAAATCTTATCCACTTAGTCATATGACAACTTCAGTTAGGACTGAATTTACAACAGAAGCTATTATGCTTTAAAAATCCCAGGCACTGCAGTCACAATCTCCACTGTCCTCTCTTATTACTTTTGATGAAAACTAATCAGATAAAACATTACAGTGATGGTGGTAAATAAGGAGGAGACAGAGCTGAAGAAAAAACGTTGCTAAAGCATTTAGGAAATGGAAACTGAAACTGGGCGGCGACACTCTGATAAACAGCATGAAGCGCTGTGACAATAGCAAAAAAAAACAAAAAACAGTTTTGTTGGACCTTTTTTTACATCACTAACGGTAGCTGTCTGGCTAACTAGATTATTTTGATTACATATTTACCTGTCAGCTGTGGGCATGTGGTCATTTGCTAGGTAACAGACAGGATAGTTGATTGTCCACTTTGATCGAGTAGGTTAAGAATTTCTAACTTGAGATAAGATGCTGTAAGATAAGCTTCTGCAATATGAATTTGTGAAAAATCTTCTCCTTATCTGTCAGATTTTAAGTTAAGACAAAAAGATAGGAAGTTTCTGTAATACTCCAAGTTTCTTCTGAGAACCCCCCCCATGTTGCAATATATATTGTTGCTGCCAGAACACATTTTGTCAGAAAATTGTTGTGAGCTCAGTAGGGGAAGTAGAATGTGTCTGACTTGATGGCAGTGTTTTTATACCCCACCCCTGCAGTCATCGGCAGTTTACATTGACCATCAAGTCAGGCTGAGTCAAAAACAAATGCAGGAATTGCCACTCTGGGCCTGGAAACCCTTGGTATGGTGCTATGTCACTTTGGAGGAGTGGGCACAAAACATCTTGCAAGAGCTGCATAATGAGCCTTGAAGATGGTTGTCAGAGGAAGTGCGGAAGCAGAAGATGTTGTCGGAGGAAGCGAGGAAGAGAACTGGACAAGAGTAAATCTCGAACTGGCTTTTACTCGTTGGTGAGAGCTAAAAGAGATAAAAGGATGCAGGACAGTCTCACGGCAATTCAACAGCAGAGTGTTCATCCCTGCCAGTGTTATTTATGAAAGATGGTGATGTAGGCTGTATCCTTATCTATGCCATCCCTGTCTTACAGAGTTTTTAAATTGTTATTATATTATATTATTATATTATGAGTCTCATTTCAGGCTAAACTAGCATGCAAAGAAATAAATTCATCTCACACCAAACAGTTTGGTCAGTTTTTGTCAATCTCATGCCAAATGAGCCTTGAAAGTTTGCAACCTCCTGTAATAAAATCCTGTACTATTACTCTACCTTGTGAGTCGACATGGTTCTTTCTCTTCTGATGTTGTCTTTGCTGATGTTGTGCTGAATTCCGTCTTGCCATCAGATGCCAGCTCCTCTTTGTGTGCATGCATGCCACACAGGCATATGGACACTACAGATTTACTAGAAAAATAGAAAATAGAAAAATAGTATCCATATGGCTGCATGATGCACATGCCCGTGAAGGGGAGTCGGATTCTGTGTCCAGCTCATCTACAAATGCCCATGAACATGAGGAGGCCTCACAGTGTGATTTGTATTTACAACAGTGGTGAAAAAGTGAAATACATTCCACAACTGTAGGGGGCGCCCAAGAGCAAAAATGACCAATTCTTGCATCATGCTGCTTTAATCAGTGATCGGTCACTATTCACCCTTTAATTTAAGTGCTAACAGGTTCCATTTAGACCAATACACTGGATTCAGAGCTGTCTTTGGGGTTTACAAAACAGGTTAGAAAACTTTGATGTGCATAATAGTAGGGTCATTCTTTCACCTCCCTTCTGACTCTGAGGGGTTGTGGTCTGATGTTCTGCCTTTAGAAACCCACTTCCTCCATCTTCACTCTCTAGTGTATCTGTCAAAACTTCAGCAGATATCTAATCTTACACAGCAGATATCTAATCTTACACAGCGCTAAGAGTGTAAGATAGACACACGTTTATTTTATCACACGAGGAATGAAACAGCTGTCACAGTGACTACTACAATGTTGCATCTGGGTCCCTGCATCATCGCCTTTCTTCTAACTTGTGGAGGTATTTGTTTCTTTTTATGTCAGTGATATAACTAGCTTTGTTGCCTTTTCATCTTTCCTGTGTGTAACGTATCAAAGCAGGCTTTTAAACTAATGTAAATGCGATTGTTTTGTATGATTCAGAAATTGAATGTAGGTGACTCTAAAATATGTGCTAATTAGACACTGAATTTTAATTATTCAACAACTATGAAGAATCTGAGCCAAGAATAGAGATGTTTCTGAGCATGCAGTTAATTCTGTGCTGTAGTTCAGATAATTTATTAAATATTTGAATTCAAAGTTTTTGTTCAGTCTGATGTTGGTTCATTGCATTTGCTTTTCGTTCAAATTGATTTAAAAATAAGAAACAATCCATAACATAAATGCTGTGAAAATCTATCATGCCATTTTGCAGCATTTATGACAACATCTGTCATAACTGATATAACTGTCTCCATGCTGTTACACTCACATACACTCCTCACTTAAGACAGCAAAACTGATACACAACTTCTGTTCTTCCTGCAGATTCTACTGATGGATTTAATAAAAATATTCACACAATCAACAGAACTGCTTCTCAGGGAGAAACTGTTGTTTTTCACTGTAATGTAAGTGGATATAAAGGAGCTGAAGGAGCTGATGTCGGATGGCGTAAGGAGGAGATTCTTCTTTTTAACTACAGCCCTGTTATTAACCAAACTGTGACAAACTACACATCAAGCAGAATGTATGTCGATCCCAACAATCCACGGAAACTACAGATATCTGATGTACAGCCTTCAGACGCAGGAAACTATACATGTTTCCCATCAGTAGCACAAGAACAATGGATATTGACCATAGAAGGTAATTATTTTTTTTCTTTAGGACATCACCTGAAAGATACTTTTTGTGTGTAATAAAATTTGCGCTTAATGCAGATGATCTGTTATGATACCAATTATTTTTTATCTGTTTCTAATTCCAGTTTCTGAGAGTGAACCAGAGCTGCTCAGACAAATGTTTCACTACATCGTCCCCTCAGTTACAGGAGCTGTTGCAGTGTGCTTTATTATCATCTGCACTGTGTGGATTTACAGGTGAATGACCAGCACAACAGATTCAGAGAAACTGCCCAATGACAACAAAGGCTATTGTGTACTGTATATTATAAATGTCATGGGACTTTCTGTCTATGGGTCTAAAAAAATCACCGCATTTTCCTAACCACGACCCCATCACCACTACAGACCATATTAAACAAAAAACAGGGCATTATAAAAAATATTGAACACTTCTTAACAAAATGACACTTATGTAATATTTCATCTTCAGTTCTTTTAATGTTGTTTATCATATGAACAATGAATACTGAAAATACATGTTATTTGTAGCATTTAAGCAGCCACAGGCAGGGATTACTGAACCAGTGCCACAGTCTTACCAATGCTGCAGTGTGACTTTGCTGAGACCATAAAAGAAGCTAGAGGTGTAATGATTTGATTTGATTATGATTCAAAGAAATAGTGAATCAGGAAGTCTCACATTTCATTGTAATTTGATTTGATTTGATTATTGTGGTAAAATTCAAATATAGTTTAACTCAATGTGACTAGAGGAACTATTTACACAATTGTGGAATACAGAAAATAAAAAAATAAAAAATTACACAAGCATTTTTTGAACATAAAGCATCACAAGAACTACAATGCTGTGGAATCATCACCTTCAAATCAACAGAGCAAGGCATCATTGTATTTTTATACCCCTAAAACATTTGAAATCTTATGTCATTATTGTTGGTTTAAGGCTTTTCTTGTTACAGGATCAAAAACATGCCTATCAGTTTTGCTAATTCATGATTAAAACTTTTAACTCCATTAAATGTTAAAAGTAAATTAGAAGATTCTCTTGTGAGATCAGATGGAAAGACAAAGGAAACCCAGGGCCCACCAGCAGGCCCAACGTTTTATTACACACTTCTATAACCTAAGAATAGCTCAGTCAGTTTGCAATGAAGTCCCTGTAATTACTGAACAATAAGCCTCAGTATATCACTGCTGTCAGAAGAAAACCATGCATCTCCATTTTTGTGGTGTTTCAGTCTGGTTCCATTGACTTACATTAAAAATAAAGTAGGTTTTTTCCTTTTCCTGTAAAGTTCGCATTTTGGAGATACATGGTTTTCTTCCGACAACAGCGATATAATAAGCCTAAGATTTTAAAGGACTAAGACTTTCCTGCTGCTCCTTTATTTATCCTAAGCAAAAGAGCCCAGTAATCTCACGTCTCCTTTAGATTTTTAGTAAGAATGTTTAATAAAGTCATATATTGCGTTCAGAAGTTCAGATCTGCAACCAAACTCTCATCTCTTCTTCATCTCTGCTGTATCTCATGTCTCCTTTTTGTCTAATTCTATTTCTCCTAAAGAATTCAGGAGACTATTAAGTCTCCTGAATCATCAAAGATCAGCATTTGAGAAATGAAATTTTGATTTCTGTTGCAGGAAACGGAAAACGAAGAACAAGAAAATACGGAATGAGCTTGTGAGTTCTTTCTTTGCATATATCTTTGAATGACATTTTGAATAATATACATATCATTAATAAATAACTGGTGGCCATAACAGAGCTGCCTGCTGCATGTGGGTGTAACTAACAAACCCCTGTGCCTTGTAGAAGCAGATGCAAGTTTTGATAAATCTATTTTGGCACCATCTTTGTGGTTTGAAGTTAGATGATTGCTGATATCATGTATCATGTGTTTCCACTGTATTATTGCACAAATTCTCTGTTCCTGATCATAAAGCTGATGCTAGAGGAATTTTAAATACATGTATATTGTAGCGTGGGCGGTACAAAGAAAAGAAGCTTAGACAACTCAAAGTTTATGCCAATGATGCAGCTTTATTTTGACAGAGCAGCCAGAGTAAAAAAGAGGAAAAACTCTTATTTCCATTAGAGAAATATGCTCTTTAAGCCTCTAGCTCTGCTGGGGGTTATGAATCAGCACCCAAACCTGGATAACGGTGCGTAACACTCCCAAACATGGTACCTACCGAAGCTCCAGCGTTCTCATAACCCGTAAACATTTAGTTTTAAGAACTAAATACAGCCAGGCTAAACATGAGCACAGCCCCCCACCGCCCCTCATTTGCCAAGAGCAGCAAGCTTGCTGCCTACCAGTCCCACAAGACAAAGTCTTTGAAATGTCTAGGATTCCATCACCCTCTCTTCGAGGGCTCCCAGCCCAAGTGGGTACCTGACGTCTTCACAGGCTTAGCCTCTGGGCTCTCCACTGATGCTGTTGGAGTGTCATGATCCTCTGGATCACTGGGGGGCATTGAGGGGGTGCCAAAGTTGCTGGAAAGAGTTTGCCAGAGAGCTTGTAGCCTGGGGTTTTCTATGTGGCTGGGGAGTTTTGGTTGTGTCCTGGGGGCATCGTTCTGGAGGGCTACAAGGACTAGGGCCCCCACCCCCGATCCTTCGAATACAGAGCTAAGCACTCCGGATTCAACACCATGTGGTACCGGGTTTAGGTGCACACCTGATACATCATGTCTGGCAGCCTTTCCACCACAAAGCAGGGTCCCATCCATTCACTGTCCAGCTTGGGAGAGCAGCCTTTCTGGCAGTGCAGATTAAGACTTCTTTAAGACACCCAGACTTCTATACTGGCTGAAACTCCTGGCCCTTGAGCCACAGGTCATAGCCCTGCTTTTGCAAGAACCCCAACTGGGCCAGGTGCTTCCTGACTGAATACTGTATTACCTCCATCCTCTGCTGCAGGGGTGCTTGGGACTGTTCTTGTGGGCCCTTGTGGCTCCCCACACAGAATAGTAACAGAAGTATTATTTATTGATGTTTCCAACAATATAATCCTAAAAAACTGTAATCCATGAAAAAGTAAATGTAATCTGAATATGGCTATTTTTAAAGGTATACTACTCATTTCTGTAATTAGATTTTGTAATTACATGTAGTCTGTTACTACCCAACACTGTTTGCCACTAATGGGACTTTGTGCACTGTGCCCATAAATGGTAGTCTGCCTTGTCAAGACTCAATTCAACTGTCCTAAACTAAGCTGCTGATTTCCCTGTATCTCCGTTACTGGTATTAGGAGCAATGACTGGCCAGCTTGGTCTAATTTTTCAAGAAGGTCAAAAAACTCCAAGGAAACTCCAAATAAGACAAAAGCATTCAGAGTAAAGTGATGAGTTTATATAAACACTATTTTTCTCCTATTTCAATTATTCTTCAGTGTTTACCCATCTTAGCGCAGTTTGTGTTTCATATGTAAGTCAGATATCTCACTACCACCAGCTGTATTTGCTACTAACTGGCTGCTGGATGCTGCCGGAAGCCTTAGGTGTGTGGGCATGGTGTTAGTGATCAGTGTGGTACTAAATAAATAAGCCCCCTCACCACAGCAGTTGATGTACTGATAGTAACGGCCTGTAGAGCTTCTTTCCTGAAGGTGGTTTAGTAGCCAGTGATAAGATCAAAGACCTTTTTTAATGCATGTACTACTGTACAGTGTTTCTCCTTCCATAGGACTATTTGGTGTCTAGTTCCAGTCCTCTGTATCAGAATATATACTTTCATCACAGTTACTCCTCAATTACTAGATTAGAAATCACTCCCATTATTATGGAAAATTACCTTCACTTTTCACTTATCTGAAATAAAAGAGTTTGATTTGGTATGGAAGCATTGTCAAAATTTCAAAGCAATACTCTCAGGCCCATACAGTCATATGGATTGTTCAACATATGGAAACTAAACTGCAAAAACAGTAGTGTGATTAAACTATTTTTGTAATGTTACAAAAAACAATTGCATTTACATACAGCCACCTTTTCAGCCTATCTCAGTTTAGCCCCGCCCATTCTCGTTGAAGTTGCAAGGAATGTTTTAGCCTGGACTGCTTTGTGAATGAAGCACAATACAGTGAAGGCAATCAGAACAGAGCTCATTTACACATTTTAGACTTAAATGCACAGTAACAAAAACAGCCTGTTTAATTCTATGTAATAAAGAGAGGCTGGACAATGTGCAGGGATTAGGTGTGACTGTTTTGGAACATAAAACTACAAAAATGTATCAAGTGGACCTCAGAGGAAAACAAAGAAAAATGTAGGATATTGGGCCTTTATCTAATATAACTCTCTACAGGCCTGTATACAGGGTCTGCTAGTTAAAGCATTAATGCTTTCAGGGGATTAGAGGAGGGTGCTCCCTAATAAAATTCAGTCACATTATATTTACTAAAATATAACATTTATAAATTTAGAAAAAAAGTTTTAATGAAATGTGAAAAATAAGAATAAAAAACAAGATCTCTTATTGTAAACGCACTTAGAGTGAAGCTCCAACAGTGGGCTTTTCCCACCCCCCGGTGGTCAGCAATGGAGTGACTTTTGTGCCAAAGGTTTCAAAATGGGTCTTGCCTTGGACTAACATTTCTATGAAAAGAACTTTAACTAGTACAGAACTTTTATATATTTTTGAGGTTCTTTAAACTTCTAAAAAGGTTCATCACCCTCATACAGCTCATTTACAGCATGGTTCTTTAAAGAACCATCCATTCTTTAGGGAAGCCGAAGTGGTTCTTCTATGTTTTTTGAATGTACCAGATTGTATCATTAATGTTTCTGTCCAACATGTGCTTGTGGACATTAGCCCGTGTTCACAGATGTAAGAAGGCGTAGGTTTTGTAGGAAGTGCAGGGAGGACCACCAACTCATGAATATGCAATTCACTGATTTTTTAATTTGTTGGTGCTAAAATTTGGTGTATCACAACATCTTACAGTAGTTGTGTAAGGTATGGCTGTCTCACAGTTTAATTCACAATAACAAACAGGAAAGAATGTTTTTATTTTCTAGAATTCTCTCTTTGCTTCTACGTTGTGGCACATTGTTTCGGGTGGGGAGGAAACGTCCACCTTAAATGTACATTGGCTAACTGGAATTTGGCATGATCAATAAGCAGAGCTCCATGAGCAGTTCTATTTAAAATTCTGATAGAATAAGTTAATTAAAACGTTGTTTTGATGAGAAAAAATGTTTTATAGGGTTATAAATTAAATCAGCTGGATGTTTAACATAAACTGTCTAGCTGAGATTGTTAGACAGGATGTTGTTCAGGCTAATAGCTTGCAGTGTGTTCTTTGTGGTCTTATACCACAAAGCTTTTGTTTTGTTTTTCTTTTTCGGTTGGACACTAAACAATAAGATTAATTTGTTTCAAAATTGTAATTTTTTAATGTAAATTTTTATGTAACACATTATTTAAAATTAAATCCTTAGTCATGCCATCAAAGACAGCTGCCTGGGTCCTTTCTAAAGAAAATCATGGGTTTGGTTCCTGGGTTCATTCAGAGAGAGAAACAGAAGACACAGCAGTTTACACACCTACACGTTGGTTGCTTGCATGTGGTTTCTGACTCTGCATGACATAATGTAGTTATGTTATAACTGAACATGCCTGAAACCCCTCCTTCTTCCAATCTATAAATTCACATCCTCACCTTCTGTTCCCGTGATGAAGAGTTCGCAGTCCCCACCGCCACCCCATCTCCTCCATGTTCTTCAGTCCTGCATCAGTCCTACTACAGCTATGAGGGGGTCCGGCCTTCTAGATACAGGCAGAAACTGCCCAGAACTCCAGCCCAAGTTCTCAGAGTCACCCCCGCCCCACCCCTCCCTCAATCAGCCAGTTAGTTCCTTAAAGCTGCTGCACCATTTAAGGTGGAACGGAAAATTGAATAAGAAGCTGGTGAATAGGAGTACATTAAGTTGGAATACAAAAATCTAAACACATTCTGAACTTGAGATGAACTTGAGCTTCATCTCACATGTGCTACAGCTGCGCTCCATCAAATCTGTCATGCAGTGCTTCTCTAGTGATGTGTGGTAGAGTTTTTGGTAAAACCATCAACATGACCAAAACAACTGTGGTCTCTGACAAACCTTAATCTATCATTTGATCCAGTGGTGTAGACAGTCATTTTTGTTTAGGCCAGCTTACTAGATACAATTTCCAAATGCGCTAATGTCATAACTGCAGGCTCCATGTTCCAGACAGCCATGCAGTCAACACCCTACCTATTCCAACACTTCTGCTCTGTGGTGATACAAAACAACATCAATCAGCTGGAATGCTGGATTCACATAAACTCATCCAACATTGCAGCATCCTTCACTATAAAGCATTTGTTCGCTCACCACATGCATGTTTACCCAATGAAGACGATGTGACTGAGATAAAATCAGACAGCTGAGTTGTGCAAAAAACAACAGAAAAGTACAAGAGCACTGTAACTACCAAATTCACAGAAAAGTGATGATGACCGTGTTTTTTCAGCTTTGGATGAGTAAAAATTTATGTACTCTACCGGGCAGAATTACATCTTTTAACTGCAGCTGGAGCTTCAATTCAAACACTGGCACGCTGATAAACATAGCAGTGGATGCTAAGCAGTGATTAGAGGGCTGAGGAAGTAAGGTGGAGCTTGGAGGAGAGCATAATGATTTGATTGGCCATTATACAATAATAGCATTCACAGAAAACAAATCAAATTTCATTATTTAAAAAAAAAAAATTGGCCGTCGGTGTCAGAAACCACATAAGCAAGCAAGCTTTTCAATGTGGGGGGAATTAAATGATCTCCACCTTCAACATTTAGCTTTCATTACTTGTAGGCTACAATAGTCTCATCACTCTAATGCAAAACTAAGGACATGAACTTCACACACCAAACACGTCTTGGCTGATCAAATGCACAAATTTTTTTTATCAGTGAAATGTCATTTTAATATTTTGCTTGCAGATCTTATAAACTGGTTTAATCCATTTGATGGAAAGTTAATTGTCGTGTCATTTATCTTTTGTTTATCAATAGCAAACACGAGGAGGAATGGACCACGCTCAGAACCGCCAGTATTTTGAGAAATTTAACTCTATATATGGAGAAGTTAAATGAAGATTTCACTGGCAGACTCACTGGAGTCTGGAATCTTACTGGTAAGCATTGAATGGCATTTCATACAGTTTTAAATCTTTAATCCAATAAATGCAAAATGCAGAAAATAACCTAACCTAAATTTCTGAATGACGTCATGACTTTGAACATAAAAGTCTCTCCTGTACTAGTTCAATCAGCTCTTTATGCACAATGGTTAACAGTTTGAAGACACCTGCTCATCCACCGTTGGCCATAATACAATCTTTAATCATTTTAATTTACCAAAGAGTTTTACCAACAGTTACTTCTTTAAGAGCTGGATTGTTTGACATGCATTAAGCCCAGTCTTGACTGCAATCCCACAGGTGTTTCACTTTTAAAAATTAAATACTGTCTGTGCTTAGGTTTAATCTTGGTCTAAGAAACTGGCCATAAATGTTCTATTATGTGTATTAATGTAAATGTAGTAGATTTATTTTACCAATAGACTGAAAGTAAATAAATAAAATCACACATGTTGTTTTCCAGCTCTTACATAAACTATGGTTTCTAAAATGGTCATCAGTAAAGTCTTTTTTTCACACAGTAAGTGGGATAAATCAAAGTAAGAGCAAGAGGACATCATTCAGCCTGGTGTGGAGAGACTAATCTACAGATTACACAAGACAAGCTAAAGACTTCAGCATCTATTCAAGATGTTCAATTATGATACAGTGCAGTTCACTTGTTGATGCTCAGAAGATGGCAACAGATTTTGAAGGCAACAGAAATCAGAACATGGGGTTGGATAGAATAATCAGTAATAGGACTGAATAATGGGTTAGAT